TCTACCTAATTCCGTCAGACTGCGAATCCTACAGACGGCTGAAGCAATTGCTATTCGAATAAAAAAAACCAGAGCTTTGTATCCAAAAGAAGTATGTTCAGCCACTCCTTTTACCCTGACCAACTAGCTAATAATCAATCTTAGAATGTGGTGACGTAATCTGGTTAATGTTCATTTTATGTCCCAAACTTATTATTATTATTACTATTATTGTCTTTACACTTGATAACCCCCTTTTTGAGGAATTTATTCAATATCCACCCCTGAATCTACTATATTTGACCTAATTATTTTACATATTACGTAATTTCCGATTTGTAATCACAATATTCTCTCTCTGTTACCCCATGTTGACCATATTTATTCTGATCATTTATCTCACAATTTCATTTCACTTAGAAACTGATTCAAGTTAACACTTTATATTAGTCAGCCCCAACATTAACGATTTTATTTATATAACAAACAACAATTCCTGATTCACATATTACAATTTCCAAATGATGTACTCTGTGCCTTAAATCTGGCCAATTTTATGGATTATTAATTTGTATATGAGATAATTGTAGAATAGGTGATTAGAAATTATTGAAAATAATATTCTTCATTCATACAATTGTGTTTTTAATATAATGGAAATTTTTCAGCGATATACAGAGAAGATTATATATAAGGATATAGTACAAGAAGAAAGAATTAGTTAGTAGAAAGAAAGGTATGAACCAATTCTAATCTCACGGTTTAAGGGAAGACAAAGTGTTTATACACCTAAGCCATTGTGATCGATTCTAAGCCATGTCACTCAGTGTCTCTAACGATTGGTTAAGATGAACGCGCGGACCCCATCCCAACCAAGTAGTCTGGATCAACCAAAATGGTTCAAATTAGAAGTTAATGACTTCGTTACTTGTCTGTAACTTTCTTTTATCTTTCCGGATATAAATATTATGTCACACTTGATAAAATTGAGTAGGCTAGGAAGTCTTTCTCCATATTGCACCTCTTTCCTACAGTTTTGTTCCTTGAGACCAGTCATTTAATCATGGAGCTTTAGTTGTTCTACTGAACAACATCATTAGCACAAACTTCTGATGGAAATGGGTTATACAAATTTCTCTGCATATGACTGACGGTTTGTCTTACAGATCCTAATCTTGATTGGTAGTTGTTGACCTTTTTTCTATCATCGTTTGCATATGCACTTTGGTTGTTATTCCCTTTGATTTGATTTTTATCCTTATAATTATCCATAATTTTCTAATCGTCAATATCGGGTTGTGGAGATTGTTGAGTTTTTGATCTAGATCATGAGTTGATCAACGTTAAACCACCACTAAAAACCTAGAAGCACTGGACGGCTGTTTCGTCCCTGTATGGGACTCCTCAGCAGGTTATTTTTAACATGGTTGTTGTTTACTAATTAACATGATTCCCAAGCTTCTAAAATTTCTGTAGTGTTTTTTTAGTATCTACTTAGTCCGAGATTTCTACATTTTCCCAGTTGAATATGTGTTCACAATTTTGTGCATGTATTGATATGAGTTAAAATACATCGTAGTTTTAGGCAGTCATTTGGTGCTCGTGTAGAAACAATCGGAGAAGATGACCACTCTTTTTCATATAGCATTTATCACAGTTAGAACAGTCTAGTTTGTCGCTGATATTCTACTTGTTTTCCCTTTTTACCATTCCATTCTTTGGTTGGTACAAGCTTGATGTTATCCTGGTGTTGTCCAGAAAATTGATTAAAGTTTTACGATCAGATCTCTCAGTTCAAAGAACGAAACTTGGTAAACATTATCGACCTAAGCTATAAATCTTACCCTCCATCTCAGAATAATATTACTTTCCATATCTTTACGCAGTTACTAGCCAATGAGAAGCCTTGAAGTAAAATAAATTCCTCTTAATCCTAAACCATTCTTAATATGTCCAAATTCATTAAAGTTAACACATGAACGAGAATCTAAATTCAAGGAATATTTATATAGAGCATCTCTTAAAACTAGTCGTCTCTGTAAGGACTCACTGTTACCACGAAACGCTTAGTTAAATAACATATAAGAAACTATAGGCTTATAAGTACATATTATAAAGCTGAAGAATGAAAAATTCCTTTAGCAAACTTAAAAAATCGTTTCGTATGCTTGAAGCTGTTGTGATGTGTGCTACTCATATCGACATAAGTAGTATGTAACTCTAGGCAGGAATAGAATATCTGGCAGCAGGAGGTCGGGAAGATCGAGGATGAAAGAACGGGGACAGAAAGCAATTGGTTTGAAAATGCAGGAACAATGAAGTTTATGGTGATTGATTGACATTTTGGCAAATGAAGTACTTATTGTATGGTTCTCAGCGTTTACTAAGATACTCTGTAATGTCATATTCAGACACGTTCGATTGTCCTCAATGGAGTTCTCGTCCACTACACTGTCACGAATAAAATTGCTGATAGATGACTGACAGCTAAATTAAATACTCGAAATAATCTGTTATAAACCGTTTGGCTTTACCAAAACTGCACATTAGATAAACAGAACACGTATATCGTACATTATGAAAATAAATGTCATTACTTAGGAAACAAATAAATCGAACTTCACCCGATTGCATAAGCTAGTGGCTACCTGAACTTAGTAGCTACGTGAATGAAGCTGTAACATTTGAAGTGAATGATACTAGGTTTCAATTACGGAGTACACATTAACTCTGGGATGCAGGTATATTCAGTTGGTGAGGAACACAACTCGCGTTTTCGACTTCCCTACTGTTATATCCTAGTGAAGATTAAATTACTGGTAACTTCCGAGGACTACTAACAGACTAATATTCCATAAGTACTCTTATGGTATAGCTATTCGATAATTAGATTATGTATATTTATATTCCTCTTATTATAAGCTTTATTTTGACCTATAATTGATTATTGTATGATTTACGGTTCTCAAGCTGTGTTCAGTTTATTGACTACTGCCTCTCACTTTCACAGCCACATTTAGCCAAATATTGTACAAATGTTATTTTCTATTTTATGGTACGTTTTGGTCTGTCTGATTGATGTATAAACCGAGTATTTTTCAAATAAATGATTCATATTGCAAAAGCTGGTATTGAATTCTGGACTCAAGCGGACGGGGTAGGAATATATAGGATCAATAAGGACGCTCGACTGCTCATACCGGTCGAACGTCATTGGTTTTGGCACAGTGCGAAGACTGTATAAGTCGTATTTTGATTGGTGGGTAAGTCATGTGACATAAGTCGAACATAAACTCATAACAACTACTAGCTACTATCCATCTTTTCATGAAATCCTCGTGACTTAATGACAATATTAAGGCAATTCGCACACGATGCATATATAATTAGTTCTGACAGTATACTTCAACTATCCTTTCCAACCATTTCAACAAGTTTAATGGAACTACCCAAATATACAGTCGTTATTTCACAGATCTTAAATATTATAGAAACTATCGTTAAAATATAATCTAACAATTAATTTATTGAAATGATCAAATAGTAAGTTTAATGAATAAAGCGACAACAACAACAAAAAGAAGAAGAAGAAATACTGTTCAATAGAATATATGCTACTTCTTTACAGGTGCCTTCGGTACCTCCTTTCTTGGCTTCTCCGTTTTACCTTCCTTTTTACAGTTCCTGAAATATATAATTAAAGTATAAAATTTACTAAATAAGAACTTTCGTTTAAATTTGATCGAATAGTTTCACAGTATTTGGGCGCCGAGTTAATATGAGACATTAAAGGGGAAGAATGTAGTGAAGTGTGTAGTGTCAGTTATTATGGCAAGCCCATATACCTTATTCTAACTTCCTGATATCCTATTTTATTCATTTTACTTGAGCCATATTTTGACCTTGTCAATTATTCGCTTATCAGTCTTGACTGTTTTTATATGAGCGTATATGTGTGTGCCCTTCTTATCGCATTAATCACATGTCTGTAGCTTTATTTTGTCTGACTCTAAATATTGAGTCACGCTTGACAAAGATGGAGTTGGCTTCCCAGCCATCTTCCATACGTGTCATTTTTGCTTTGCTGTGCTTCATTCGCTTCATGTACGAAATATATGTATTCTCAAGTCAATTCTCGTTATTCGACTTATTTAATTCCGTTATTGGATAACGCGATTTAAGTCGACGATGATATACGAGAATCAGCGATAGCAAATATTTAAACAATCTAAAAAGGAGTCAGATTCAACGAATGTTCGTCAAGAATAGAATGAATAGTTTGACAGAAATTGGGCACCGAGTATAAAGAAGACATTTTATGTGAAAATTATTATATTTGAAATAATCTTCGAGAATTCCCTTAAGAAGCTAGTCACTAGTGAGCACATCTTCACAACCCTATACTGATAATTACCATATGCTCACTGGTGACTAGTTTCGTGAGGGAATTGTCGGAGTTCTAGTGAAAAACCGTAACCAGTGGAGCTAATCCGTGTCGGGTAGAGACAGGTATCTACTTCACTACAATGGAAGATGGTCGTGCAACTTCGTGGATTGGTTGAAGTTAGACATTAACACCATTGGGTGCTGGCTCAGTGGTCTAGTTGGTTAAGCGCCTGGCGCGAGACTGATAGGTCCTGGGATCGTGGATGCGCACTGCTGAGGATTCGCATACATTAATTTCTGTCAATATAACAATGAATGTGAAATAAAGAGGTTGGATAGAAATAGGGTTCAATTATTTGTTAACAATCATTTGCCAAGTAGCAGCTAGTTGAACACCATCCTTTCTGTTCACGTTGTTCTTATTCGCCCATCTATACAACACTTCTGCTATCAATCTTTCTTTATATGTGTTAAAACCTTTCTGAAGTATTTTGGTCCCTTCAAAATTAATCTTGTGTCCTGTTTCTAATGCATGTAATGCTATCGCAGACTTATTCCCAAGTTTCGTTGTCATTATTATTATTAAATGAACAAATCTAATAGAAAGTTTCTTGATCTAAATCAAGTAAATGAACTTACTGAAATACTTTACGTGTACCGGATTTTGCTTTGATTTCTGCTTCAGTTGGTCTTTTTAAATCAATTTTTGTAGTACATGATACATCTTTATGAATAAGTAATAGATCTTGAGATAGCGACATTTTTTCTTCATGATCTGTAATTATCATTGCACCTAAAATAAACATAGTAGAGTGAATTAGAACACTATTAGGGACAATCAAATGTATGCGAATAGAACATAACAGATTTTTTTTGATTGAGATCATGAATCGGTTGATGTGAGACCACCGTTGGAAACCTGGAAGCACTAGATGGTCGTTTCGTCCTGTCGTTGGACTCCTCAATAGTGCACATCCACGATCCCGCCCCTCGGGATTCCAACCCAGAGCCTTCAGTTTCGCGCGCGAATGCTTGACCTACTGGACCACTGAGCCGGCATCCAACGATGTTAGTGTTTGACATGATCTCACTCAGAAATTTAATAATCTACACAACCCCTATACTGATAATGAACATTACAGAATTGTTTCGTAAAAAAATCTGAGAACAATATAGTAAATAATTCATTTGCAAAATGTCAAACAATTGTCTCAGATCTTGTAGTTTCTTCGTCTCCATACTAATCAATATCTGTTCTCGTCCTTTTCTTTTTGATTTTCTCAAACTTCTGCCCCCAGACATTCCCGCTTTCTTTGAGTGATACATACTACTTATATCTGTCGATGTCAGTAGCACACACTGCAATAGTAAAATTAGATACAGTTATTATAACCAAGTGTTTGATTCTGACAAGATGGAGTTATTTTTCAGCTGTAATCACTTGGATTACTGATTAATTCATTAGTTATAATGATTAATATGATTACATGGACTGGTGGTTTTTAAGATCTTTTTCACACATGGAATTGAACATGTATGTTGACAATAATGAAATGCAATACTACTTATATATTTACCTCTGAGAATTTGATTTCAAAAAATGTTCAGTTTAATGAGATCACTCGGTGTACTGTTCGTGATGACATTGTGAGCTGATGTTTTAAAACTTTTAGAAGTCTGTATAACTCACAACAAAAACGAATACCATAGTATTACAGATGAAGAGTCAATCAATATAATTGACAATACATAATATTGACTGTATTTAGTCAACTGTATTTCTAGTTTCTAGTTTTAGTTCCTAACTAGTATACTTGGATTTGTGCCAGACCAAAATATGGCACAAATCTATGAAGTGACTGACAAATGGACTGAGCCAAATTGGTAGGTGTATACTATGTGGTTGCGATCCGTGAGACGATAGCAACCGATGGTTAGACACCTTGAATGATATGGCTCAAAATCGTTTTGCAATGGCGCAGATGCATCCACACTTTGTGCTCTCCAAAATTCTAATCTTCTGAATTCCTCATGTCTCTTTAATTTTTTCTCTTTCCAAATTTATTTCACTGGATTATACTCTTTCAATAACATCTTAAAACCCTGATCTTTTCGATTACTGCTTATACTTTTACTACCTCTACCGCTATAGGATTTGAATCAACAACTGCATCTCAGTGCTAATGTGGTATGGCAACTCGAACCGATGTACACACGTACGATGTTCTACGTTGTTCCTGAATGACTTGAAAGTGAGTTCTTGTTAATTGTCTACAAATTTCAAAGCTTTTCTGTTATCCATAAAAGATCAAATATTTAAATACTGATCCTTCTAGAACATGAATCGTTCAACAAAGTGACTATTCGTCGTTACCTATTTAACCACTTGGTCCGACACCAAGTTATTTAAATCCTTACCAATCACCAATATATATATATATATATATATATATATATATAATACAGAAAGCAATACTAAGAACTTTATTAAATGATTAGAATAAACTGATTCATAGACTTACCACTTTTACTAATTACAAATGGTAGTTGATAAACATCAATCTCTTTAGTTATTGATAATTCAAATAGTATAAAGAATAGAATAATTGAATATAACATAATGATTCTGTTAAAAAAAAAGAAATAGTAGATAGTTGGTGTACGTTTTTGTTATATCCCAATGGGAAGAAAAGTTCGATTTCTTTGTTTGATGTTTCGTAACCCAATATAAGCTGCTTCTTCAGAGTAAACAGTCAAATAATCAAATTAATATTAATTGAAGTTTAAATAATACAATGGAACAACAAAAGAATATTACTTCTTCATTTAGTTATTTATTCTTTGAAGAAGTAGCTTAAATTGAGTGACGAAACACGAAGTAAAACTTATACAATGATTCAACTCTATGTATTTTACCAAAGTGTAAATGATAAATCTTATCTGTAATAGATATTACTAGTATTTATATTAAATAAATAATTTATGACTAAATTGTTCCATTATTGATCATATTGTCAGTGTCAACGCATTTGATGACATATATTTTTTGTCAATTTATGAATGTCAAAATCTAAATTCTTATTGAATTACATAACTGTCATGTTGTTTCCTTAATTGCTAGAAAACATTTCATTTGTCAAAGATATTATTTACTTACTTGCTTACGCCTGTTACTCCCAATGGAGCATAGGCCGCCGACCAGCATTCTACAGCCCACTCTGTCCTCGACATTTCTTTCTAGTTCTATCCACTTGTCACTCATTCTCCTCATGTCTATCTCCGTTTCTCGGTGTAACATGTTCTTTGGTCTTCCTCTCCTCCCTTGACCTTGAGGGTTCTGTGTGAGGGCTAGCCTTGTGACGCAGTTGGGTGCTTTCCTCGATGTGTGTCCTATCCACTTCCAGTGCTTCTTCCTGATTTCTTCCTCCGCTGGAATCTGGTTTCTTCTCTTCCACAGTTGGTTGGTGTCCGGCCAACGGATCCGAAGTATTTTGCGTAGACACTTGTAAATAAATACTTTTATCTTCTGAATAATGGCTATCGTAGTTCTCCAAGTTTCCACCCCATACAGTAAAACTGTGTTGACATTTGTATTGAAAATTCTGATCTTGGTGTTGGTTGACAATTGTTTTGAGTTCTAGATCTTCTTCATTTGTAGATATGCTGCTTTTGCTTTGCTGATCCACGCCTTCACATCTGCGTCAGATCCACCATGTTCATCAATGATGCTGCCTGGATATGTAAATGTTTTTACATCATCCAAAGCTTCTCTGCCAAATTTGATTTGATTGTTGTATGTTGTGTTGTATTTGAAAATATTGTTTTTCCCTTTGTGTATATTGAGAGCTACTGCTGCTGAGGCTGCTGCTACATTGATCATCTGTGAAATCTAGATCGTGTAGTTGCATTCTAGCTGTTCACTGTATCCCGTGCTTCCCTTTAGATGATGACATCTTCATGATCCAGTTGATCACCAGGAGAAAGAGATAGGATGAGAGTAGGCATCTTTGTCTGTCATCGGTCTTTACTTCGAACGAGTCTGTGAGCTGTTCTGTCAAAGACATTAAGAATCCTTAATTCATTGAAATCATTATCATTAATTACAAATATATTTTAATTGACTTGAAAAGTAGAAATTATTCATGGTAATAGATATTTAAAAGTATTTTCATTTATTGGGCATTCATAATAGAAATATGTTTTCTGAACTGTTTTATGCATAAACTTTATATGATATTTGATGAACATTAGCTCATTATGGAAATTAAGTTCAAATTGGACTACAATGTTTTATACCTCTCTTAATTCAATCAACTAATGATATGGTACAGGATTCATTCAATACAATCAATCCATGATTACTTAATGCTCGATAGTGTGAAATTCCACTATTCTCTACAAATCCATCCATTTATCTTGAATCCATTCACTAGTGAAGACATGTCCAATCTCACCTTACACTATGTGTTTTTTTCATTGGAATTGTTATCTAGTATTCTATACACACTTCAAATAGATTTTATAAGCATTTATACTTGGTATCATCTTTGTATAATCACTTAATCAATGTTAAGTTATACACACAAAATGCACATAGAATAGGATACTATAGAATTCGACACCATGTACCGCAGTAGAATTATTTATCAGTAAGGTTGAATGATCATACAGAAAGTGAAGAGTTAAATATAGTTAACCGTTTAACATGAAATAAAATTATTTCACAAGTTGAAATCATGAGCCAATTGAAGCTAGACCACCATGGAAAACCTGGAAGCAGTGGACAGCCGTTTCGTCCTAGTATGGAACTCCTGAGCAGTGCGCATCCACGAACCCGCCCCCCACGGGATTCGAACCCAGGACCTACTGGCTTCGCGAGCGAGCACTTAACCATTAGACTATTGAGCCGGCATCCAACGGTGTTAATGTCGGCTCAGTAGTCTAATGGTTAAGTGCTCGCTCGCGAAGCCAGTAGGTCCTGGGTTCGAATCCCGTGGGGGGCGGGTTCGTGGATGCGCACTGCTCAGGAGTTCCATACTAGGACGAAACGGCTGTCCACTGCTTCCAGGTTTTCCATGGTGGTCTAGCTTCAATTGGCTCATGATTTCAACTTGTGAAATTTCTAAAAATCTCCACAAAACCCATTCTGATAAAAATAAAATTATATTAATGATAAACATTCCTTAGATAGTAATCTTGATAGTGAAGTATAGTGGTAATCATCGTGTATTCTGACATAAGTCTAATTTACTTGTCTTGTTCACAGAAGAAGTGTATGGGAATATTTAGTTCTCCTCTGTAATGACATCGTTGAATGTGATTGGTACAAAGATGGTTGACTAGTAATAGAATTAAGGATGTGCATTCCGTTCCATTTGAGACTCAGAATTCAAATGCTTCTGCATCCTAGTGTTGATTTTCACACTGAGACTCGAACTCAATACCTATCTTTTCAAATGTAAAAGATATTTTCTACTGAGCTACTGAGTCCCGATAGCCATCAGCTTATGCAACAGGGATGAAGTTTTATTGTTCATTTGCAAGTGTTTGAATCTATTCATTGTCGAATACTTGTGGAACAATGACAATATTGAGCCAATTCTCTCACGATCTATGTATGACAAATGAGAATGATAGAAATCCAGTCCTCAACATCGTCAACGTTAAGTTTATTTAAATACTTGCAAACAATTGATAAAAAACCACCACGTTTTGTATTGTAGTGGTTAGCCGCCACCACTCTCTTTCAAATAGTTGCATCTAACTCTAACTTTATGATTGCCATTAGACTTAAAGAGATGCGAGGCAAGCCCTAACACGGAATTCTGAAGGGAAGCGGAAAAGAGGAAGGCCAAAGAGCACATTACGTCGAGAAATAGAATCAGATATGAGAAGGATGAATAACAACTGGAAAGAGCTGGGAAGGATTGCCCAGAACAGGGTTGGATGGAGAATGCTGTTGAGCGGCCTATGCTGCTTTACGATGAGTAGCAGGCGTAAGTAAGTAAGAAATGTGGAAGAATATGGTCTACCACTCCTAATCGATACACGTACGTTGATCAATTTTGTAATATTATTTCCTAAAGGGTTCACCGATGTGGTTGAATCCACAGGATGTTTTCAGCATGCGACACAAGGTGTTCTCACAGGCCATTCTGCCAAAATAATGTAAGTGTCTATATTAATAAAATGCAGGATATAATGGTTAGCTGAAAGAACACCTTATATTCTTATGCTTTGAGAATCAGATGGATGAAGGTAATGAGGTGCAGTACTTTCTTTTCGCTAATACGGATCAAGTCAGCTTGACTAATATTTTCCTAAATAAAGTTGTTTTTCATAAAACTAAAGAACCAACAACAACAATTTACTTCCCGCTCAAATTATGGACTTGGATATAAATCTAATGGCCATAACAATCTCTATCGCCTTCATTCACCGTGTAATTTCAGTACTGCTCTGTAGATTTCTGTTGTTCTTCAAGCATTCAATCAATAATTGAAATCTGTTTAGAATAGTTACAGACGATTTACTAAGGATAGCTGCTGTAGTGACGGAAACACATTCGAATTCTCATCACCTTTTGTGGAGAGTATGGTGAATTGAAAATGTCATAAAAAGTGTATGATATTGTTTGTTTACTAATCAGCTGTAACTACAATATGGAAAATATTCAGCTGTTTTTGATGACGTTTTGTTTTCTGAGCTGGATGGTTTGGTCGTGGAACTTTCATTGTTCTTCTGAAAAAAAACTTCATTAAAATCATCCACCTGAGTTACAAATCTTCTCCACCATCTCATATTCAGCTCTTCTCTCAATAGATGTTACATACAAATGTGGATAGGTAAATGTTTGTACTTAACAAATGGTCCTTAGAGTTTATATAATTATCCATCAATGATTGAAGTGTCAAATACCAGATTTCATCAACATACACAAGATCGGTTATTACTGAAAAAAAAAATAGTCAAGCGTTTTTCAACAAAATGCTCATATTCGTGAACAAAACGCTACCAATATCATAGAGGCGACACATACACAATTAAGGAGCTACAATGATTGAAAAGAAACACACTGTACTCAAATTTGTCATAAGAAGTCGTTCATCATAAAGCATACGGTCATTAGAAAACGTAATGTTCCAGATAAAGAATGTGTATCGATTAGGTACTAAGGAACAGATAAAAGGTCTGTTTTAATATCACTGGTAAGTAGATTTGAATGTACTTCTGTTTTTTGATTCGGTGGTGGTATAGGTACGTGTACTACATAATAACTTACGAATAATAATAATAGTGTGATTGTAGATCACAACTCCGCCTGTAGCTCTTCTAGAGTTACTGCCGGTCCCAAGCCCGGGTAAAGGAGGAGGGTTGGACATGGGGTTAGCGACCCCATCCCGTGGAAAACTAACTCGCCAAAAAAACGCTAACCCGATTATAGATCACACTTTAGTAATACATTTTCATGGTTCATTAAATATCGGCATCATATAATGAACACTACTTACTGTACTTAGAGTATATGTAGATGTAAATTACAATTCTTATTAATAATAACGACTAACGACTTGGCAAATCAAGAAATTATATGGAAATGAAACCACGTTGGAATCAAGAACAGCTTTATTGGCCTTTTATCTGACTCTAGTAATATCATATGATTGATTGTTATCGAAATACACATGTCGACTATCCTTGTATATAATTATCAACTTAACCGACATCTTTGAGATCATGGACCGATTGATATGAGACCACCATTGAGAACCCGGAAGCACTGGATGAGTGTTTCGTTTTATCGCGGGACTCCCCAGAAGTGCGCATCCACGATCACACCCGCGCGTTTTGATTTTGTGACATCCAATTGGTGAGAAGACGAAGATTGTCAGAACCATGTGATGATATATTAGCGCAATATATTTCGAACAATCTGATCGCACACATATACATGTTCAGAACATTTGTGTATAAAAATAAATGGTCAACTAGACTAGAAACGGAGGGTAAGAGGAGACAAGGAAAATAATGTGAAAACAATTTGAAACCATTTCACTCTGAATAATAAGCTAATATTACCAGTTTAGGTTTAAGGTGAGAACAAACTATTTCTGAATGCACAAAGCGGGTTTGAATTTTCCTATGACTAAGGCTTCAATAAACCTTAGTATACGCCTTTTTACACTTTTGTACAACATCACAAAAGCCGAGTTAAGATCAATCATATGACCTATTTCAATTATGTATTTGGTGACAAAGGATGATCGATGTTTATCCTCAACTGTTATTAGGTCATTTGATTCTATTTGTTACTAATCTTTGTCTTCTTATTACACTGTTGAAATGAACTTCTTAAGTACAACATTATCAACAATCAGTATTTTTCTAGCATACAATTTAACTTGTCATCTATTTCATATAATTGAACTGAGATTATATAATCTAGATCCAATCTTCAAAGTCATATAGAATGAATCTGATGTGAACAGGGAAACAAGAAACCCTGACAATTATGAAAGCTATTTTTCGGGACATTATCTCATTTTATGCAAAGCTTGTAAAACACTATCATTTATTTTTGTCCCTAATCTATTCTACAGAACATAAGCTTTCGTTCGAAATATGATTCATTGCCATACTTTTTTCTGTTCCGAAGCTATTGTAATTAAAACATAATATTTTGCACCCTGTTTTCTTCTCTAATTCCTAGCTTTGGACATAATTGTATTTTTCCTAATTACTATACTTTGTAGTCGGTTTAGTCACCTATTTATTTATGTACCTTTTTACACTAATCGAAATAAGGGAAATCAGAATATCAGGAATAGATCGAGTGGTGTTCCAGTTGTCTTGTCTTCTCCCATTCGCGTGCTTGTCAGCCAATCAGTTGATAGAATAGTTCTCTTCTCTCTACCCCACTTCGAACTCAAGCATACTAGCCTCAAGGTTAGGTCGCTCAGCCTATCATGCCAAGGTTTTAATCTGGATTAGATAAGTATCCTCAGCACCCAGAGTGGGTAGACAGACCAAAGGACATAACAGAATCTCATTAGGAATTGTAATACTTTATGGAATTTGCACACATTCTGAGATAAATATTACACTTGATAATAATAATAATAATAATAATAATAATAATAATAATAATAATAATGGGTAGGTACTGATCTTACCTACATCATTAATAAAATCCATTCAGAAGGGGTTTTGTGGAGATTGTAATAATTTCAATCATGGAAAGCCTGAAATTACTGGAAGACCGTTTTGTCCTATTGTCGTACTCCTCAACAGTGCACATCCACGACCCCGCCCCACAAGATTCGAACCCAAGACCTATCAGTCTATCTATTCATCCATACTAACGGTACAATGGACTCGATTATTCTACTAAAGAATTCTTGATTATGTCATAATACTGATAGTATATTTTTAGACCGGAAAGCAAGTGAAGTGAAACTTTATCAGCTGTCACGTGCATTAACTCTGGTTAAATTGAAATAGAGTTTTGGGAGTTTAATTTGACGTCGGATGAGTGAGCGAATTCTTGACTGAGTAGTGTTTGTCCTGTTTATTGTAATACGCTAATTCATGCAATCCTCCTTAAGTACAGCTCATTTCCCATTTGATAAATTGAATATCTGAACAGAGTCGTTTTAAACAAGGATGGATAGTGACTAACACTACAATCCAAGATGCCTTTTTCGACCTACTTGGAACTCGTCGGGTGAATATACTTGCATCTCAGAGTTGATGTTCACTCTGGGACCGTTCGCTTCAAACGCTATCATGTTACCCAGCTTACGAGTCCAAAATAGGACGAAACACGTGTCAAACTGGATTCCATTGCTAGCCACTATCCATCCATGCACATATGCCAATAAGAGGTTGATCAATTGCAGCCTTAAACATCAGTGGGAAGATTCAAGTAAACAATACCAAGTGAATTTAGAAGCATTTTAAGATTAAAGAGTTATATCTAAATTGGTTTTCGAGTTGGAATCCATCAAATAGTTAGTTCAGTCGTATTGTGCTGTATGCTACTTACGTTGGTCAACATAAGTAATATATAACACCAGTCAGAAATGGAACACCTGGGAGCAGAAGGTTAAGAAGATCTAACTCAGGAAAATAAAAAGGGAAATAGAAAGGAATTGAGAATTGGAGAAATCAGTGAGGGTGTAACTTACAATTGATTAAGGATTTGCAAATGTTCTTAACGTATGATTTTCATATTTTATGAAAGAACTCTGTAATTTTGCATAAGACAATAAAATGGTTGTCCCCACCAAGTCTTCGTTCACTATAGTACTACTTAGATGTAAGCAGTGTTGATCAGAAGCAGTATAGGTAGATCTGTCAACTGTGTGTTAACATTTTCAAACGGTTACTTTCACTAAGAAAAACTTTATCCACTTTCAGTCGCTGAATAACGCTTTAATTTTAGATTATTCGAAAAACATATATCAAGTTTAGCATTTAATTCACTCACATATATCTATGGTCAGATATAACTGGTCCATCTCTGATACACAGAATGGTAAATATTCAACTGGTCACTCATCATACAATTACATTACTGAAGTCGACTATACGATAACGATAAGTTTTACTGTGAACTATGCAATTCACTAATCCTGATTAACGATTTCCAACTCTTTGGTCCCTGAGTAGTGACTAATTTCCTGATCTCCAAGTCATTCTAAATGTTTTCCGAATTCTAGCGATTAATTCGCCGTGTGGCCATTAGTGTAAGTGACCCGACGTCACGTGAACCATGATAACGTATTAGGTGGTCATAGTTAGTCGACAGGAAACTGTGGACTCAAGTTTCATGCTCCTTTGAACTTACTATTCATGACACTAATAACTAGGAAGATTATCAAAGATCATACTTATTGTTGATCAACTGAAAACTGTCAAGGAATACAACAGAAAATCATTTAGTATTAAAACATTTTATTTCTTCTTATTGAATTGTTTATGCAAATTACAACCAAAAGATGTAATTTAACAATAAAGACAATAATCCAGTAATTGAATGATAAATTTCATCTTAGAAAAGAAGTTATTTTTTCTTCACTGTTGCAGTCGTTGCTTCTACGCTTTCTGTACTTTCATTATCTTCAATCTCCGTTTCACATTCCCTTGAAAAGAAAAACAAAAGTATATTCTCAAAATGTTCGGAAATGATTAGGCGATGAATAAATTACCTTTTATTAAACAGAATTTTAAAAGTTTATTCAATACCATTATTCATTCGATTCGCATGGTATTGTTTTGATTGAATCTTCCCCGTTGATGTTTAGGACTGTAATTGATCAGTCTCTTATTAACATATGTGCATGCTGTGCGTATTGCCTTGATTCACAAGCATCATAAGCAAATATGGATAGTGGCTAGTAATGGAATCTAGTTTGACACGTGTTTCGTCCTATTTGGGACTCGTCAGCTGGACGTACCTACATCTCAGAGTCGATATCCACTCTGAGACTCGAATCCAGTACCGTTCACTTCAAATGCCATCGCGTTATCCACTTAGCTACTGAGTCCTGATAGCTACTTGCTTGTGAAATGGGGTGAAGTTTAATTCACTTGATATTGTTTTACTTGGATAGCAATGGAATCCAGTTTGACACATGTTTCGTCCTATTTGGGACTCGTCCGCTGGACGTACCTACATCTCAGAGTCGATGTTCACTCTAATTCAATACATAAACTACAGTTTATAAAGGTGTTGTGTTATATGATGATGTCGTCTAGAAGGTGAATAAAAAATTTCATGACAAATCATTAGAGCTCAGGCAACACAATACCTCTAAAATTCCCATACTCAGTAACAAATGTTCATTCTGGATTTTATAACTTACACTTTCATTAAACGAATTCCTTTTCTGTTATTTTTCTCTGTTTCATTTGGTCTCGAAAAGTCGATATCGGTTTCACATATTTCATCTGTTACTTTTAAAGTCAATTTCTCATTTAAAGTATAATTATATCCATTAATCATTAACATCATGGAACCTATGTATTAAAAAAGTAAGAAAGGAATTAACATTAATTTGATGTTAACTACTGAAATGGGTTTAAGTAGTCAACTTGATTGATTCTTCATTAGAAATTTCAATACTATTATTTCTGTCCTAGTATGGGACTCCTTAGCAGCACGCATCTACGATCCCATCCCCACCCTCGTAAGATTCGAACCCAGGACCTATCAGTCTCGCGCGCGAGAGCTTAACCATTAGACCACTGAGCCGGAATCCAACGATGTTAATGTCTTACTTCAACCAATCCACGATATTGTTGAGGACGAGACGGCTGTCTAGTGCATCCAAGTTTTCAATAGTGGTATAACATTGATCCATTCATGATATCAATCTAAACTCCCCACTCTCTACAACCCTATACTCATCTTAGTAACCTCTTTCTAATATGTTTCCTGGAGATAGATAGTGATTCAAAACATTTCACCTAATTCAAAATGCTATCATTCAGATTTATTCATATTAATCGCTAGAAAATTATTAGAAAACAATTATATGAACGAAGAATATTCTTTGAAATAATTTCTTATCAGGTCCTACAATCATATATATCCAAATTAATAATCCATATAGCTGGTCAGGTTTAAGGCAAAGTAAATCATTTAATACTTGTTACATATGAATTAAGGATTGTTATTTGTCATGGAGGAGAAGATTTGTAGCTCAGATGGATGATTTTGATGGAGTTTTATCCTCTGAGCTGGATAGTTTGATCGTGGGGCGTTCATCGTTCTTCTGAATGACATCATCATCATCAGCAGCAGCAGCAAGAACTTCCACTTAAACTACATATCTCCTTCTTCTCCTCAACCTTAAACCTGACCATTTTTATGAATTACTAATTTGGATATGATAATTATAGAGTATCTGATAAGAAATTCATTGAAAAGAATATTCTTCATTTATTCTTATTAACTATTTTTGTATATCATTTAATACTTACCATTTTTGTCGATTATAAATGGAGCATCAAAAGTTTCATGTTTTCTGGCAATTGTTAAGCTAATGAAAATTAAACACACCAAAGATAAACGAATCATTTCTTATCTAAAATGTAAAAAAAACATACTTATTAGACGAAGAATAACATGAACAAGAAGAAGGGAAAGAAGAAGAAGAAGAAGAAGAAGAAGAAGAAGGAGATGAAGAAGGAGGAGAAGAAGAAGAAGAAGGAAAAGAACAAGAAGAAGAAGGAGGAGGACGGGGAGAAGGAGGAGGAGGGGGAGGAGAACAGGAACAATAAGAAGAAGGAGAACAAGAAAAAGAAGGAGAAGGAGGAGGAGAACAGGAAGAAGAAGAAGAAGGAGGAGGAGGAGGAGGAGGAGAAGAAGAAGACGAAGAAGAAGGAGGAGGAGAAGACGAAGAAGAAGGAGGGAAAGAAAAAGAAGAAGAACAACAAGAACATAAACATATTGTAGAATTGAAAAATGTACACTTTTAATTTACATTCTCAAATAAAGAATTATTCATAGAGATAAATGGTTCATTATTTATAATTACATAACCATTAGATTTGAACCAATTAAAATTTATGTAAATTAACTGGATTGATTCTCCCCCCCCCGTCTTCAAGAAACAATATTGATTAGATGTTTATTTGATTTATTATTTGACATAAAGGATCAAATGAATATTTCTCATATATATTCAATAGATTAATAATTTAAGATCATGAGTCAATTGAAGTTAGATCACCATGGAGAACCTGGAAAAAGAAAACAAACAACTATGAATGAATATATATAAACTGAAAATTATTCATTAGGACTTAAGAGCTAAATGGATAACACAATGGTGTTTGAAATGAATTACTCATAACAACAGTAGTGTTTGTCTTGTTTGCTCTCATAACAACATTGTTTTCCTGTCTTTACATAGTTGTTTTAGAGCATACATTTGTTCTTTAGATAGATTAGGAGCATTCAGTTTTTGATTCAACAATACAGCTATGATACTATGGTGTGTGCTACTGATCTAGACACATATAAGTAGTATGTATCATTAACAGAAAGTCAAATGCTTGCAGGCAGGAGGTTAAGAAAATCGAAGAAAAGAGAACGAGAACAAAGAATAATTGATATAGAAACGAAGGAACAGTCAAGTCTGAGATGACTGATTGCTATTTTGCAAATGAAGTATTTACTATATGATTATTAGATTTTACTAAGACATTCTGTAATTCTTATGTTCAGATACATTCGATTATGAGATGGTGAAGATTTGTAGCTCAGGTGGATTACTTTAGTGGAGTTTTGTTCTCTGAGCTGGATGGTTTGGTCATGGAGCTTTCATTGTTCTTGTAGACGACATCATCGGCAAAAATTTCAGGTAGAATTGCTGATGATGCTATTCAGAAGAACGATGAAAGCTGTACGACTAAACCATTCAGCTCAGAGAACAAAACTCCACCAAAATATTCAATTGTCCCCACTTGTTTGTTTTTGTTCATTATGTAGTAAATGTACACAACTCTACATCACTATTATGAAACTGTTAAATACTTTGAGTATATTGTTCATTACATAAAGAATGAAAATATTAATTTTATATTCTTGAAGTTAGATAATATCCATCTATATTGAAATTTGTTCAATTGTCTCTGTCCCTCCCTTACTTGAGACAAATTACCTAACATTTTATTGAACTAACCGCTAAAAGAGCACTTCGATAGTAAAAAGGATATATTATGTTGGTAATAACTGATATAGTATTGTAGAGTATTATTTCATATCTATGATATTTATTATTATTGACTTATGTACATTTGACATCATGAATTGATCAATGTTAGATCATCATTGTAAACTTTGAAGCATTGGTTGACCATTTTGTCCTAATATGGGACTCTTGAACGATGCACATCCACGATGTTACACGCAGAGATGGTTGTTCAGTACTTCCAGGTTTACAGTGGCGGTTTAACATTGATCGCCTCATAATATCAATTCCAATTCAACAATCTCCACAACCCATATACTGACAACTAATTACATTGACTTATTATTTACTTGGCCAAATAAAATATTCTTCAGTTTTGTAGGCTGATTTATATTGAAGATATTTCATCTGTAGATCTTTATCAACTAAGAAACTACTGAAAACAAAAGGTGTGCTCTACAGTTGTTTCATATTACTATGCAACTCCTAAGCAGAACTAACGTTCAAATTCTTCAGCTATCGTTGTTGTTAATATCAATTTAAATACATATGTACGAAAGAGTACGTTCGAATGATATGAAGGTAGATATTTAAGAATTTTATTATACGCTCGCAAGACAACTTGTGCTTCCAAAAACCAAGTGGTTTTCCTAGTTTTTTATTAGCAAGCTATATTTTAGACATGGGATGTGTAATACGAGTTGAATAGATTGAGTTTACTTTAGAAAATCAATAAACAGGATAATTCTCCAAGCTCACTAATGACTAGCTTCGTGAGAAAATTCTCGGAGTTCTGGTGAGAAGCCATGACCAGTGGAACGAGTCCGTGTCGGATAGAGACAGGTATCTACCTCAGTATAATGGAAGATGGTCGCGCAATTTCATGGATTGGTTGAGGTTAGACACTAACACCGTTGGATTCCGGCTCGGTGGTCTGGAGGTTAAGCGTTCGCGCGAGAGACTGAAGGCCGTGAGTTCGAATCTCGCGAGCGGGATCGTCGACGCGCACCGCTGAGGAGCCCCACAATAGGACGAAACGGCCGTCTGGTGCTTCCAGGTTTACATCAATCGGTTCATGATCTCAATAAAAAACATAAAAATTAGGAAACTGAAACCAGGTCTTTATTTCTGAAGCGAATACATGAGAACAAATTTCAACCATTTAGTTAAAAAGAAAGCAAGTAATATGAACAATTTAATTGTGATTATAATTCAATGAGTTCAAATACGAATTCATGTCCCAATAAATCTTATATATAAAATAGATGGAATGAAGTTAACTGTGGAATTTGAAGCGTGTGTTTTGTCCCATTTGGGACTCTTCAGCCATGTTATAATGGATATATCCAAGAGTGCTTACAATCCTGAAAGACATGATGATACGTGTGTTCGTCTTGAAGTTAGTTGTGACCCAAATACCTCAAAGATAACGTATCAGGCCCTGAACCTAGGGAGGGACGCATTCTTGTTTCAAAGCAAGTATCAGTTTATTTAAGATTGTAAGTAAGCCTTGTTGACGAGTGCCAAATATCACGGAACCCTTTGCCTAGGGATTTTACCGACCGCCTGCAATTACATAATTTTTCAACTTAGTTCACTTGACGCCGAGGCACTTATAATAATAATAGTTATCATTATTATTAGCTTTATGCAGTGTTATATTTTCGGTACAATATAGAATTCTCAGTTTAAAGTATTTCAACAAGTTTCTTTATTTTTTTATTGACCCTTGTGATAAATATCGAGTGGTTGCCAGTTAGATACTATCAGTTCACAAATCGACATCTGATTAATGTGTATTCCTTTCTAAGCATATTGCCAGCAACTACGACGTCTCTGATTGGGCTCTTTTGTAACTTGTAAGCGAAATGTCGTGAACTTTTCCCAAACACACCTAAATAGGTTATGCGATTAATAGACATAATGATGTGTTAAAACAAACAAAAAAACAACAGACAACTTGTTGAAATATCCATATGGTAGGAACAGGTAGCCCAAATATTCAAGCAGGCCGTATTGCAGCTTGAAGGATTAGATTTATATAACATCGGTCATTTTATTGGCTGTATTTCACAGCCGTGAAACCATATAGAGTAGATTGTAATTATAATATATTCTGATAATAATTATTACATAATTCATTCCAGTTTAACCTCGTCTGGAGACCCTCTGGGGCTACTGCCGGTCCCAAGCCTTGATAAAGGAGGAGGGTTGGGTATGGGGTTAACGACCCCATCCCGTAGACAACGAACTCACTAAAAAACGCTAACCAGAAAAAATTATTCAAACCATTTAAGTAAGTAAGTAATTAAGTAAGTAAGTAAGTAAGTAAGTAAGTAAGTAAGTAAGTAAGTAAGTAAATAGGTAAGTAAGTAAGTAAGTAAGTAAGTAAGTAAGTAAGTAAGTAAGTAAGTAAGTAAGTAAGTAAGTAAGTAAGTAAGTAAGTAAGTAAGTAAGTAAGTAAGTAAGTAAGTAAGTAAGTAAGTAAGTAAGTAAGTAAGTAAGTAAGTAAGTAAGTAAGTAAGTAACTAAGCAAGACATCCCAGTTCACAGACATGACCAGCTCATTATATTTAGCAATATTCAATGTAAGAGATATATTGGATATTAGACAGTTTGAAGTGTTCACATTCAAAAACTGTTTTACCTCTGCCAAAATAAAGTAAACTAACTTTGATTTTAAATGTGATATATTATTTGTCAGATTTAAGATAATCTAAAATAACCTTGTCAAAACTAGATTGCTAAAAAAGAACAAACTATCTTGTCAATCTAATACATTCTTCTTTATAATTGTCCACTTTATTTGGGCAATCAATCAATCAATCAATCAATCAGCCAATCAAAAATGAAGTTCTTTAACATTGAAAACCAACTACTCTACAGATTATAAATAAGAACTACCAGATAAATAGATCCATTCAAAAGAATTACTGAATTTATTGTGTTCTATTAAGTGAGTATGTTTAAATTAATTTAATATACAGAAGTATTTACATAATTGAAATGGTGAACAGTTGAATATTAGAAAGCCAGTTTTGTAGATATTTTAGTAATTTAATAGTTTAGTTTATGAATCAATTGAAGCTAGACCGTCATGGAAACCGTAGAAGCACTAGATGGCCGTTTCGTCTTACCATGGGACTCCTTAGCAGTGCGAATACACGATCCTGTCTCGTGGGATTCGAACCCAGGATTTCTTAACTCCTAGACAATTGAGCCGGCATCCGATGATGTTAATGTTCAGCCACCGTTCACAATTTAATTCCAACTGAGATTTTAATTGAAAAAAAACTATAGTTGATTTCTTGTTCACAGAAAACACACAAATTCCTGGCATTCGTTTGATGATATTTTATTGGAATTCAAAATAACTTCATCACTTTAATGGAGAGAGACTACTGAAATAAATTGAAAATCTCTTTAGTTCAAGATTTTGAACTACTATGTATTATTCAATTGGTTAGTTAGATTTCTTCTTCAATTGTAGTAGTTTATATTAAGACTGGAAAATTCCCCAGACAGTAAATCGTTATACTAAGAAGATAAGTGAACATCATTTATGTATTGTTGAAAGCATAGATCAATTGTTAAGTTCCTAATGTTATATCAGTGGTCTAGAGGTTAAGCGTTTACGCGTCAGACTGGTAGGTCCTGGGTCCAAATTTCGAGGGGCAGGATCTTGGATGCGCACTGTTGAGGAGTCCCATACTGGGACGAAACGGCCATCCAGTTCTTCCAGGTCTTCCATAGTGATCTAGCTTCATCTGACTCATGATCTCAACTATAAATCTATACCTTATCGAAAAATCGTTACATTTTTTTGTTCATTCTATTTTAATAGTATATATAGTTTCTAGAAAAAACTCTACATAAAGAGAAAATAGATGGTTTATTCGACTCTAACAATATTTGGTTTGTTTATGTTGGGCTTTTCTACTGTTATGACTAAAGTGAATCATATTCCTATAAAATTTGACAAATATGGTAAGTTATAATTTCTCATTATTATTATGAATGATTGTTCAGTTAATTAGTGAAATTACACAGTATGCACATTATGCCAATATGAGACTGATCAATTGCAGTCCTAAACATTAATGGGAAGATTCAAGTAAAACAATATCAAGTTAATTAAACTTCACTCCATTGCACAAGCAAGTAGCTACCAGGATTCAGTAGCTAAGTGGATAACGCGATGGCATTTGAAGTGAACGGTACTGGATTCGAGTCTCAGAGTGAACATTGACTCTGAGATGTAGGTACGTCCAGCTGACGAGTCCCAAATAGGACGAAACACGTGTCAAACTGGATTCCATTACTAGCCACTATCCATCTTTGCTTGTAAAGCTTGTGAATTAAGACAATATTGAGGCAATCCACACAATATTCACATATACCAATAAGAGACTGATCAATTGCAGTCCTAAACCTCAATGGGAAGATACAAGCCAAACAATATCATGTGAATTAGTGAAATTGTTGTTAATAATAATAAGTAGATATTAACTCTTTTGTTTAAAGGCACTATACTCGTCCTCTCTCACTCTCACTCTTACTTATGATCCCAAACATATTAGGCAAGATCTTTAGAGCGAGTCATAGGTAATTAGCTACTCAGTAATCCCCGGGTTTTTAGTAGTCCACAAAGGTCAAGTAATGTAACAAATAAAATTTCAAAAATCTCCATATTGTAAATTTAGAACAACATTGATATATACAAACGAACAATATTGTTTTCGATTAGATCCTCATTAGGCCTTACTCTTATATACAGTAATGTATTTATATGCATATATGAAATTATTAAACCAATCAAGGTAGTTTATGAGTCAATGATAATAGTGGAATAGATTCTATAAATAGGTGAAAAGTACAAATTGATATAGGGATGACAGGTGTACTAGTTTTTGACAGGAATATTGAAGGCTCAAATCAATGTTGGTTAAGCACCTGGCGCGAGACTGATAGGTCGTGGGTTCGAATCCCGCCGGGCTGGGACGTGGATGCGCATTGTTGATGAGTCCCACAATGGAACTAGACGGCCATCCAGTGCTCCCAGGTTTTCTATGGTGGTCTAGCTTCAATTGACTCACGATCTCAACTGTTTAAATTACTACAATCTCCACAAAACCCCTTCTGATATTAAATAACATTTATAAAAATTATAAGATTACGTAATAAGAAGTGTTCAGATAATCGAACCGTGAAGTGTATATTTGAGAGAGAAAAAAAGGTTGAGAGGGTGTGAAGAAAGACAAGTAAACAAAAAGTATGGAAAATAATGATAAATAAATTCATTTATTAAGACCGAAGGAAAGATAAAGGTGTTACAAATTTGGCTCGAATTCCTATAGCTTCTGCTATGTGTAAGAGACGAGGCCGAACATCATAAGGAAAACTAGTAGGAATACGATAAATAACTTGAAATGATTTATTCCTGTCCACTACATGAACGCTATCGATCAAGTGTGATAGAACCGAGGTGAGTATTGTCTTTACATTATCTTTTTCAAATCACGAAGGAAGGTGTTCATTAAAAGTAACAGATGTGATACCATTAAGTTACTTCACTAGAACACCTATCTCAAAGATAAACTAACATTGTAGTAGTAATGAATCAGGATGCTTAGTGGTGACATGCAGTTATAACTAAAGTATTTTTGGGACTAACAGAGCTGAACTAATGTTAATAATTGCATTACAGTTTAGTAATTAAATTTATTAATGTGCTAAACATGTGGACTCAGTTTTCTATGAAATTTATTAATTTCTCAGTTGACATCAGTCTATAATAAACTATCAGTGTTATAGTACAGTGTACAGTACACTCCTAGTATTCTCACAACTTATATATATCTATTAAGTCTGAAGGAAATACCGTCTAGTTAATGATCATAGATTTTTATCGAAATAACAAACATCAGATAGAAAACCATTGAGAAACAAGACGGTATAGATGTTTAGCATCATGCAGTTGAGTAAATTCAGGACCTATCAGTCTCGCGCGAGAACACTTAACCGCGAGACAAGTACTTTCAGGTTTTTTATGGTGGTCTAGCTTCAATTGATTCATGAATTCAACTATAAAAAGTTACTAAAATGTCCACAAAAACCCCCTTTCTTATTTTTATGATAAATGGTCAAAGGAGTAGAAAATCGTGACATTATCCTAGACCATTAAATGACTTAAGGATTACCAGGGCAAATTCAAGGTTATGATAAGTTGTTTTTACATACATAACGGAGGAGGGTAAATTTACGATTAGGCAAGATTTCTATGAACCTAAGAATTCGTCTTTGACAATTTCTATGCAACGTTTTAGGAGCTAGATTGATGTCAATTGTGTGCTCCGTTTCAGTTATGGGCTTTGCTATCGATGAACGCGGTTTTCTACTTCCCAAGTTCACCTGAGTATTTGAGGCTAGCTAGGCATATGTTCCATAATCCTTGATTGCATTGTTCGATGACTCCTCCCTATGTATGTATTTCCACAAATACAATGGTATGTGGCGCAATCATTAGTGTATTGTCTGTGTCTATTTGGAATCATGATCTTAGTCCTTTCAAACACAACCAGTTCAGTAGAGTAATAGGTTTTCTTGATGGCTGATTCTAATTTCTATCATAAAACCATACTGTTAGATTTACCTTTAAATAGTAGAGAGATATAAATAGCTTTCTTCTGAACAGAATGAACGAAAGGTTTCAGTATTGATTGACTTTTGCACCTATTTATAAACTTTAGTGAATAACCATTTGACATAAGTGTGTCAGTCATCAGTCTCGAGTCTTCTTCAACCGCATCTGTAATGCATTTCCTTTAAACCATACTTACTTACTTACTTACTTACGCCTGTTACTACCAATGGAGCATAGGCCGCTGACCAGCATTCTCCAACCCACTCTGTCCTGGGCCTTCTTTTCTAGTTCCATCCAATTCTTGTTCATTTTTCTCATGTCTATCTCCAATTCTCGGCGTAATGTGTTCTTTGGTCTTCCTCTTCTCCTTTGGCCTTCAGGATTCCGAGTGAGGGCTTGTCTTGTGACGCAGTTGGATGCTTTCCCCAATGTGTGTCCTATCCACTTCCAGCGCTTCTTCCTGATTTCTTCCTCCACTGGGATCTGGTTTGTTCTCTCCCACAGTTGGTTGTTGCTAATAGTGTCCGGCCAATGGATCTGAAGTATTTTGCGTATACAACTGTTAATAAACACCTGTATTTTCTGGATGATGGCTTTTGTAGTTCTCCAGGTTTCTGCCCCATACAGTAGAACTGTCTTGACATTTGTATTGAAAATCCTGACCTTGATGTTGGTTGACAGTTGCTTTGAGTTCCAGATGTTCCTCAGTTGTAAATATGCTGCTCTTGCTTTGCCGATCTGCGCCTTCACATCTGCATCAGATCCACCCTGTTCATCAATGATGCTGCCCAAATATGTAAAGGTTTTAACATCTTCCAAATCTTCTCCGTCAATTGTGATTGGATTGGTGCATGCTGTGTTGCATCGGAGAATCCTGCTTTTCCCTTTGTGTATGTTGAGACCTACTGCTGCTGAGGCTGCTGCCACACTGTTTGTCTTCTCCTGCATCTGTTGTTGCGTTTGGGATAGAAGGGCCAGATCGTCTGCGAAGTCTAGATCATCCAACTGCATCTTAGATGTCCATTGTATCCCGCGCTTCCCTTCAGACGTTGACGTCTTCATGATCCAGTCGATCACCAGGAGAAAGAGAAAAGGTGAGAGTAAGCGGCCTTGCCTGACACTGGTCTTCACTTCGAACGACTTTGTCAACTGTCCTCCATGCACGATTTTGCAGTGTAATCCATCATATGAACTCTGTATGATGTTGACTATCTTCTGAGGCACGCCGTAGTGTCGAAGAAGTTTCCATAGTGTTGTTCTGTCCACGCTATCAAATGCCTTTTCGTAGTCAATGAAGTTGATGTAGAGTGATGAATTCCATTCAATTGATTGTTCCACAATTATCCGTAGAGTTGCGATTTGGTCTGTACACGATCTATCCTTACGGAATCCTGCCTGTTGGTCTCGTAGTTGGGCGTCTACGCAGTCCTTCATCCTGTTTAACAATACCCTGTTGAAGACTTTTCCCGGTATTGAGAGAAGAGTGATGCCCCTGTAGTTATCACAGTTGCTGAAATCGCCTTTCTTCGGTATTTTGATTAGAAGTCCTTCTTTCCAGTCTGTTGGTACTTGTTCCTCATCCCAAATCTTATTGAAGAGAATGTGGAGTATCCTTGCAGTTGCCGCTACGTCTGCTTTTAGTGCCTCTGCTGGGATGTTGTCCGGTCCCCTTTAAACCATAGTAAACAGTAAACAGAACATATGCTATGATTAGCTGCCAAATTCATGTATATGCTAGATTAATTGTTGTTATTGGTTGAAATGATATCTTAATTTTCTTTAGACTAAATTGATCTTAATCAAAATAGATGTATATAATTGTTAAGTATGAGTTACACAACTTCATCTAATTGTATTATTTTCAGTCAGCTACAACATAGGATCAGGCACATATATGCATCGGTTCAAGTTGCCATACCTCTTTAGAACGACAAGATGAGCATCAAATTCATAGGAGTAGTTACTTTAATGACAGTAATATGTAAAAGATTGTGTATAAAGATATAATACAGGAAGAAAGAATTAGTTCGTAGAAAGAAAGGTATAGTTTAAGGTAATTCAGTCGACCATACACAAACTTTGATAATGTAACCCATATAAAAATTAATATTCATTCACTAACAAATAATTTATTTCTAATAGTTAAGATTATGAATAAATTGAAGCTAGACCACCATAGTAAACCTGAAAGCATTGGGTGGCCGTTTCACCCCATTGTGAGACTCCTCAGCAGTGCGCATCCACGACCTCGCCCCCTGAGAGATTCGAACCCAGGACCTGTCGGTTTCGCGCGCGATCACTTAACCACTAAACCACTGAGTCGGCATACAACGGTCTTAATGTCTAACTTCAACTAATCCACAAAATCGAGCGACACATCCCCCATTGTCTTCAGTGAGTTACTATCCCACAACAGACCTGGTTGAACTCCACTGGTCACTACTTCTCACTAGAACTCCAGGATATAACTCGTGAAGCCGGTCACTAGTGAGCATATGTTAGTTAATATCAGATGGGTTTTCTGCTGTCGTCCAGTGCTTCCATCTTTTCCATAGTGGTCTAGCTTCAATCGACTCATGATCTAAACCATTGAAATTATTGATTATTCTTTGACAATAATAAGATTTAATCAATAATTTTTAATCATAATCTCTTATGCAAACTGTTACCATATTTTTCTTAAATGCTTTATCTGTTTTTATTGTACATCATTAGGAAATATGTATACAGAATTTGAAAAATTAGATTTTTATTTGACTCAAAATTTAACATTGATTATTAAAGATGATATATGCGCAACAATTGTTGATTTTACTCGACCTAGTAACAATGAAATTCAAACAAAATCCGGTTATCGTAATGTAACTGAGTAAGTTCAATTTATTTATTAAATAAATACAGAATTTCACTGATTGAAATCATGAGTCAATTGAAGCTAGACCACCATGGAAAACCTGGAAGTACTGGGCGGCCGTTTTGTCACAGAACGGGACTCCTCAGCAGTGAGCATCTACCACCCCTCACCCCGCAAGATTCGAATTCAGGACCTATCGGTCTCGCGACAGGCGCTTAACCAACTACACCACTGAGCTGGCTGGCATCCAACGGTGTTAATGTCTAACTTCAACCAATTCACGAAGTTGCGCCACCGTACACCATACTAAGACGAAACAGCCGTCTAGTGCTTCCAGGTTTTCCATGGTGGTTTAGCTTCAACTGACTCATAATTTCAATCAGTGAAATTTTTAAAATGTCCATAGAACCCCTTCTGAAAATACAAAATTATTAAAGAAAATCTAGTCTATATTATAGATTCAAAGTTTAATTAACAATCTTTCAATTGAGATCATGAACCAGTTGATGTTAGACCATTATTAGAAATCTGAAAGCACTGGATGGTTGTTTCGTTCTATTGTAGGATTCTTCAACAGTGTGAATCCACGACCTCATCCTGCAGGATCTCCACAACCCCATACTAATAATTGCCATGTACTCACTAGTGACTGGCTTCATGAAGGAATTCTTGGAGTTCTAGTGAGAAGCTGTGACCAGTGGAACTAATCAGTGTCGGGTAAATACAGCTATCTATCTCAGTACAATGGAGGATGGTCGCGCAATTTCGTGAATTGGTTGAGGTTAGACAATAACACCGTTGGATTCCGTCTAGGTAGTTTAGAGGTTAAGCGTTCACGCGCAAGACCGAAGGCTCTGGATTCCAATCCCACGAGCAGGATCGTGGATGCGCACTTCTGAGGAGTCCCACAATAGGATGAAACGGCCGTCCAATGCTTCCAGGTTTTCAATGATGGTCTAACATCAATCGGTTCATGATCTCAATCAAAAACATAATAATCTCTACAACCCCATACTGCTAATTAACACTCACTGGTTGATGTAATTAATATCTATCTCGAATCGATATGTCAAAATAATTTAAAGTTGGGGAAATAAATTAGTGGATGCCAATTCATTGATTTAAGGGTCAACTCCACATCCCTTGACCACAAAGTCTTGGGTACAATTCTTTTGAAGGGTTATAGATATGCCCTGATGAGAAATCCCACACTAGAATAAAACACTCGTCTAATACATCTTAGTTTTCAACGATTGTTTCTACCGAAGTCAGTCCATGATCCCAACCGTCTCCAAAATTCAACTTATACTACTAAAATTTTGGTTATTATTATGTATAGAAATTTGTGTGTATAATGTCAGTAGTGTAAGGACTTGATTGAAAAAAATGTTTAAGTAGGATGCAAATTCGTGATCTCATGATTGAGAAATCAATGTTTTGTATGATATATGATTACAACATTAAGAATTAGCATTTGAAAAGACAACATGAATTAGAACCAAAAGTGTAACATGCATAGTATAACAAAAATCCACTTCGAGGTAGTAATGTAAACTATTTATGTGATTAAATCTATATAGAATATAGTCTAACATAGATTTGGATATTCCGTCAAACATTTGTATAACTATAAGAAAAACTGGATAGGGGCTAGCAGTGGAATCCAGAATGCGCGTTTCGTCCTATTTAGAACTCGTCAGCTGGATGTACCTGCATCCCAAAGTTAATATTTACTCCATTCATCTTTGCTTATAATGCCTATTATGTATTTGATGCTTTAAGAAAACTAAACTATTTAACACCAAGAGATTCATACGACTGTATAATGGAAAGTTCTTCAAGTTTTCATAGGTAGAGATTTGATATTATATTTCGTAATGAAGCTTTTATTATCATTCTGAATATTACAAACAAAAACTTGAAAAATAAGTAAACTATTAGAATCACTTCATAAACTAATTGCCTTTAGGTAATGTAGTTGTAGTATCATTGTTTGTACACATTGATGTTGTCAGTCATTTTCAATCTTATCTTCTAGTTGTTTATCAGCTTTTTTACTGTCTGACAAATTGAGTTCATCCTACCATTGCTATTATTGTTGAGTGATTGAAGTACGGAAGCTTTCTAGAAAATTCCGTAACTTAATTTATACCTGTATTGTCTAAGATTTCAGCAATTTCCAAGAATAACCTGTGTCTAGAAATGATATTTCTTGGTATGTGATAATTGATTGGTGATAATACAAAAATAGATTAAGAGGGTTTTGGGTATATCCAAGTAAGATTCTCCGATACAACACAGCATGCACCAATCCAATCACAATTGACGGGGAAGATTTGGAAGATGTTAAAACCCTTACATATTTAGGCAGCATCATTGATGAACATGGTAGATCTGATGCAGACGTGAAAGCACGGATCGGTAAAGCAAGAGCAGCATATCTGTAACTCAAAGCAACTGTCAACCAACACTAAGGTCAGAATTTTCAATACAAATGTCAAGACAGTGCTACTGTATGGGGCGGAAACCTGGAGAACTACGGAAACCATCATCCAGAAGATACAAGTGTTTATTAACAGTTGTATACGCAAAATACTTCGGATCCGTTGGCAGGACACTATTAGCAACAACCAACTGTGGGAGAGAACAAACCAGATCCCAGCGGAGGAAGAAATTAGGAAGAAGCGCTGGAAGTGGATAGGACACACATTGGGGAAAGCATCCAACTGCGTCACAAGACAAGCCCTCACTCGGAATCCTCAAGGTCAAAGAAGAAGGAGAAGAGGAAGACCAGAGAACAGATTACGCCGAGAAATGGAGATAGACACGAGAAAAATGAACAAGAATTGGATGGAACTAGAAAAGAAGGCACAGGACAGAGTTGGTTGGAGAATGCTGATCGGCGGCCTATGCTCTATTGGGAGTAATAGGCGTAAGTAAGTAAGTAGTCAACAGTTTATTTCATAAGCGATATCTGACTCGCCTTTTCTCATCGTTAACTATATGTACTAAAAATATTCTATAGACTTTTAGGTTATACTTATTCTTAACTGTCTTAATAATGAAGGGTCAGATAGGTGGTTTTTCATTAAAGACACTTGATCAAACCACTTAGTTCAGAAGATTCAAAACTAACGAAATACACCCGATGAACTAAAACTTGCCCAACAACAATAAGGATTGTAATTACAGTACCCAACTATAGCTGCTGTATTAACGCTCCTTTCATGTTAGGCTATCATAAGGACCGAGTCGAACTTAACTAGCTGACATGTTTTCCTTTGGATCCAGCCATCCAATACAAGTCAGTTGGAAAGCAGTAAGACTAAAAGAAACAAACTCCAAAACCTAGAGATAAACCTTATTGATAACATTTTATGGTGTGGTAGGACCAATCTATTTCTCCTGGATGACAAGCGTCTCCAGCAATCTCATCTTATCACAACAGGAGGAAGGTTTGGAGGAAGTCATCTAGAAATATGGCACACCTAACCCATCCTAACGGACTTCCACTGTCGGCAGTAAGATCTGGACTAAACTATAGAAGAGGTCGTGTGAGACCGTTCTCCAGCAGCTGCCCTTCAGAAGTTGACCAAAGTTTCAGGTTTATAGGGCTCTTCTCGTCCCACAAGAAGAACCACCATTTGGACAACTGATCTTACACCTCTAGTAACATTCGAACTCTCTTTGTTCACAACCAACTACATCCTTCACTTCCTAATATTTCTTCTATCTGTACCATAAATCGGTTAAGCAAGTAGATGATTATTATAACTTATTACCTCATTTTGCCGGTTGAAGCAATGGATATTGTGTTTGATCCAACATGTGAACAGTACCACTTAAATCAAAGTATATACAGTGGGCAAGTCCGAAAAATGACGAAGCGAGTATTATGAATCACGCTATAAGCAACAATCCAAAATATGATCAGTTTCATAAGAGTGATGTTTTATGAATACAATTCATATGTATTTTATCAGAAAGAATAATTCATACTGTTTTATAATCCCCAACTTACTTACTTACTTACTTACGCCTATTACTTCCAATAGAGCATAGGCCGCCGATCAGCATTCTCCAACCAACTCTGTCCTGTGCCTTCTTTTCTAGTTCCATCCAATTCTTGTTCATTTTTCTCGTGTCTATCTCCATTTCTCGGCGTAATCTGTTCTCTGGTCTTCCTCTTCTCCTTCTTCTTTGACCTTGAGGATTCCGAGTGAGGGCTTGTCTTGTGACGCAGTTGGATGCTTTCCCCAATGTGTGTCCTATCCACTTCCAGCGCTTCTTCCTAATTTCTTCCTCCGCTGGGATCTGGTTTGTTCTCTCCCACAGTTGGTTGTTGCTAATAGTGTCCTGCCAACGGATCCGAAGTATTTTGCGTATACAACTGTTAATAAACACTTGTATCTTCTGGATGATGGTTTCCGTAGTTCTCCAGGTTTCCGCCCCATACAGTAGCACTGTCTTGACATTTGTATTGAAAATTCTGACCTTAGTGTTGGTTGACAGTTGCTTTGAGTTACAGATATGCTGCTCTTGCTTTACCGATCCGTGCTTTCACGTCTGCATCAGATCTACCATGTTCATCAATGATGCTGCCTAAATATGTAAGGGTTTTAACATCTTCCAAATCTTCCCCGTCAATTGTGATTGGATTGGTGCATGCTGTGTTGTATCGGAGAATCTTGCTTTTCCCTTTGTGTATATTGAGACCTACTGCTGCTGAGGCTGCTGCTACACTGGTCGTCTTCTCCTCCATTTGCTGTCGCATGTGCAATAGGAGGGCCAGATCATCTGCGAAGTCTAGATCGTCCAGCTGCATCCTAGATGTCCACTGTATCCAGCGTTTCCCTTCAGATGTCGACGTCTTCATGATCCAGTCGATCACCAGAATCCCCAACTTACACTACCACAACTAAATCAAACAATTACAATAATACCTAGTATATTACCTGAAAGATTTGAGGATTTTAAGTATCCCACTGAATCGCACAAATAAACTAACGATTTCAGCTT